AATACTAATTAAATAACATGATTCCATATTAATATATTAGAACTTATAATATATTAATATGTCACAAATATCTTCTTCTCATAAAAGGTCTATCCAAATGTTCCAATGCCATGCAACCCAAATGGATCATGTCGGGTCGGGTCAAGTACATACCAATTATAGTTATGGACTTAGACACTAATCCAACAATCTTTTGGGGTTGTAGTTGATAAGAATATTAATAATGGTCGTGGTCCATATGTTTTCAAGGTTGCTGGCCAGGTTTGTCATTGGATAGGGTCTTTGTGACCTGATGAGCCCAAAAGTCCAAGGTTTTTGCAGTTGTATGTTGTTGATACTGCTAATGAGGTTTCTAATCGGTTGAAGGCCTTTCATAATCCTGCTAGGAGAGATTTGGATGCTGGTATTGTACGACTTCTAATGGAATCCCTTTCAAATCATAATGAATATGTTAAGACATTTAAAACAACTAAGGATATGGTTGAAGCTATGAATTTGGATTCCTATGTAGTTCGTTTATATAGTGACGTCCCTGATCGTAGATATGCTTCGCCAGCACCTGGTACTTTGGGTTGTATTGTTATTGGTGATGATGGTAATTCTAGAAAATATGATATTGTTGTCTACTCGAAATCTAGTTGTCCTCAATGAGTAAGTAAACTTCATCCTAGTTATATGCCATTACAATATCCTTTTCTTTTCCCATTTGGTGAGGAGGGTTCGTCTCCACATTTGAAATTATGTGATGACACAGGTACCAGTGTTAGGATCCTGACAGTAAACATGTACTATAGTTATCAAGTTTATGCATGTAGGGATTTATCTTCTCTTATACTTAATTCAGGTCGGCTTTTCCAGCAGTACCCGGTCGATGCCTACACTTGTATTGAGGCAGATCGTTTAGATTTTATTTTAAATAACCACGACCATTTACGGTTTGAGTATCTGTTTGTCTTTATGATGCCCTATCTAAAGGGAATAAAGAGAATCATTTTGTGGGCAAACATGTTTTCTTACCTGTATCGTTTGTTGGTGGTCCCCATTATATGTATAGTCATTATTAGGATGCGTTATCGATATGTAGAGTGTATGTAAATCCGCAATACTTTATTACCTTTACATGTAATGTCAGGTGACCAGAGATAAGTCGTTACATGGAAAGTTATGGTCAACATGACACTCACAGTAGAGCTGACGTGATAGCTAGAGGTTTCGAAATGAAAGTGAGCGCCTTTATTAAGTTTGTAAAGGAGGATAAAACCTTTGGTGAGGTTGAAGCATGTAAGTGTCATCACTTTTCCTTTTATATTACTTGTGTTTCCTGTTTATGCGTTATAATGGTTTGTAATCCTTTTTTCTACATTTTAGATTTGTATACTATAGAGTTTCAAAAGAGAGGCTAATCGCACTGTCACACACTTTTATGGGTATCGAAATCGGACAGTATTCAACAGCCTACTGATATTGACAACTTTATAAGTGCAGAACTTCCGCATCCTATTTCGGAGGTGTTGCTGTATCAAATGGTGACAACATGCATGATTCCTGGCCCGTGTGGTCTGTTAAATGATAAGGCTCCTTGTATAAGGGATGGGAAATGTAGCAAGTGTTTTCCTAAACCCTTTCATGAGGCTACAACTTTTGATAAAGAAGGTTATGCACAGTACAAAAGAAATGCAATAACACGTAATACGATGCAAAGTGGCATTGTCATTGATAATGGATATCTGGTGTCGTATAACAAAAGGTTGTGTACTCGGTTTGATACGCACATAAATGTTGAATATTACGGATGGAATATGATGGTCAACTACCTATTCAAATATATTTCAAAAGGGGTTGACCGTGTTAGATTTGTCGTTCAAAAGAGTGAAGCAATTGCCACTGGTGATCCGGATTCACAGGTTCCAGTTCTAAATGAGGTCCACAACTTTCTAGATGCACATTACATTTGTCCACATGAAGCCTCATGGAGAATCTTAAACTTTTTCATTCATCGGCGGCATCCCCCTGTGATGATATTGCATGTTCACTTACTAAATATGCAACATGTTATATTTAAAGAAGCTGGTAGAATAGAAGATGTTCTTCGTAATCCTTGGTTTGGTAGAACACCCCTACTTGGATGGTTTGACAGCAATGTAAGAGATCCAAAGGGGCAATATCTTACTTATATTGACTACCCTAATAGATACACGTGGGATTCTAGATTCAAAGAATAGGGACAGAGAGTTTTGGAATCTTCAAAAAGTATAGGTAGAATTGTGTTTGTGTATCAATCTTCAAGAGAGTTATTCTAATTTCAGATGTTACTCTATCATCAAAAGGGATGCAAGTCTTATAAAGATGTTCGTACGGTATCTGGTCATCTTCATCCAACTTTCCGAAGTGCATGTAATGCACTGGGGTTGATAGGTGAAGACATGAAGTGGTTGACAGCCTTCACGGAAGCTTCATTATGGGCTACTTCTTCACAGTTGCATTCCCTTTTCTATCATCTACTACTCTTTTGTGAAGTAAGCAATCCACATTCACTTTGGGAAAGAGCATGGCGGAAAATGATAGACGACAATCTGCTGAAATTGAAAATGGACTTCCCGAATAAATTCTATCATATAGTTGATGATGTGGTGCAGCAACAACTACTTTTTAAACTGGAAAACACACTCCGGTCTTCTACACCTTCAAAATCGTTAGCCGATTTCCATTTACCCATGCCAAATCTAGCTACTCTTGCTATCCTGCAAAACCGTCTCTTACTAGAAGAATCAAGTTATGACAAAGAATCTTTGCAACGCCAACACTCAGAAATGCTTCTACAATTGAATGAGGATCAGATGCCTATTTATAATATTGGTGTCATATCCAAACGAAATAAGAAACATGTATTGCTTTTTGTGTATGGACATGGTGGGAGTGGAAAAACGTTTTTGTGGACTACATTGCTTGCATATTTTAGGTCCATTGGAAAAAAGTGTTCTTGCAGTAGCTGCTTATGGAATTGCATCCCTTCTTCTACCTTCTGGAAGAACTGCTCATTCAAGATTTAATATCCCAATCAATTTGGCTGAAAAAATGTCTTGTCGCATCAAAAAACAGGACATTACTTGGAGATCAGTTGAAGCTGAAACAGACATCTATCATCATATAGGATGAGGCACCTATGAGTTATCGTCGATGGTTCGAGTACCTTGATCGATCTCTTAGAGATGTTTTAGACTGTGAAAAACAGCCTTTTGGTGGCATCACCATCCTGCTTGGTGGTGATTTCCGCCAAACACTCCCAGTTTCCCCAAAAAGCACGCGGGCCGACATTATTGCATTAACCCTTCCAAATTCATACATGTGGTCATATTTTGATATCCGTAGACTACATCAGAACATGCGTTTAAAAAACTGTAACGGTGAAGTAAGTGACGGCCTATCCACACCCGCTTTTGCAGAATGGCTGCTTAATATTGGGAATGGAACTTTAGGAGTCCCAAATGCACACGTAGAAATACCAGCTTCTTTTGATACCTACAGATAATGACTCTTTAAAAAAATTAGAACTCTTTGTGTATGGAATTGGATTACTAGACAATCTGTCACCATCTGATCTGTCTATAAGGGCTATTGTCTATCCTACAAATGACACTGCTGACAGCCTAAACACAACAATTCTGGAAAATGATCACCAATGAAAGAGTCTACAAAAGTACAGACACTATGCAACCAAATGTCAAGTATACATCAGAGTTAGAGGGTTTATATCCAATCGAATATCTAAACCAACTAACTTTTGCAGGAATCCCACCTCACACTCTCAGACTCAAAATAAAAGCTCATATAATGTTATTAAGAAACATCAACCAGAGGGAAGGTTTGTGTAACGACACACGGTTAATTGTTAGACAGCTACTTCCAAGTATAATTGAAGCAACAATAATAACAGGAACATGCATCAGGAAGCGTGTCTACATACCTCGCATAAAATTCATCCACAAACCTCCTGACTTACCATTTGTCTTTGAACGTAAACAATTCCCAATTAAAATTTGTTATGCCATGACAATAAACAAAAGTTAGGGTCAATCACTAAAAAAATGGTATCTATTTACCACAACCTGTATTTACACATGGCCAACTTTATGTTGCATTATCAAGAGCAACATCTCCCACTTCCCTGAAAATTCTGATAAAAACTGATGAATATACATGTCAGAATCAAACAAAAAATGTTGTCTTTAAAGATTTCCTATCCAGAGTTAACGGTAACGAGGTTCATAATGTCATTGCTAATTACCATTCATATATTAAGAGTATTATATATGATGAGCAACTAACGCTTTATTGCTTGAGTTAACAGAGGCATGACTAACATATCCGACCTGAAGTATGCATGTGAGCGAGGTCAGTTGCAGGTGCGAATCTTGGGCAAATGCAAACCAAACTACCGTCACTATGAAACATGGTATCTTGGTGTAGACAAATATGTAAGTAGACACAACCTCACATATAAATACTACATTATCACTATTTACTGTTATTAACATTTAACTGTATTTCAATACATTAGGGAGATGTCATACAGATTTTGGGACAAAGGACTAACCAGGGGTACGTAGAATCAATTTTTCATATCTCTAGCTGCTATACAATATCAGAGTATACGTGTCCCTATTTAGATGAATATCAGAAAGTTCTAGAAAATGAAATCTATGTGGATGTCGGCCTTGCTTCCATAATTCTTCCCCTTCCCGACACCATCACAATTCCTACAACCTGGTTTCGATTCATCTCCAAAGCCCACCTCCTTCAGCTAGGTGAAAACCCCCTGTATTATCCATTATCCAGGTATACATATAAAACATCCAATATTAATATCAACTCCACTTCTAAGTACATTACATTTAAACAAACAGACTTCATTGGTGTGCTAAGAAAGATCAGAAATTGCACAAAGCATGATGGAGAAGAATTCATTCTTCTAATTCTTGCAGATGAAAGGTAGACAACATATAACAAATCGTTAACTTTTTCCTGATTGTTTTTACTTTTACTGCTCCTAATATTTCCCCTATACATGAAATTCAGTGGTAATGAAATAACAATCAGTTTATGGAAAGAATGCATTAATATTCCTGAAAAATTCAGACGCGAAGAGTTGGCAGCTCCCCCTGCAACAACAGTCGTGGCCATTACAAATTTAAAGACTTCAACAATTGTTGCTAACAATAACAGCGTCACCTGATGATCAGTCCAACCCTCTATTTTTTTTTCTTTTTGTCCTACACTACAACCAAACCCATCAAATTACCTCACTATATAAGAGAAAAAGACTTTGTTAGCTAAACCAACGTCATTAAAAATAAAACTTCTATAACAAATGAAGATCAAAAATAAAACTTCTATAACAACTGACATAAAGATAACACGAAAAATAACATATATACATCCATCCAAACTATATATATATATATATATATATATATATATATATATATATATATATATATATACCTACTCCTCCTAAATAGGTATAGCATTGCCACCAAATTCTCACTATAAGTATACACGTCATAAGACCAACCTCAATACTTTACCACCACTTACCAAACAACAAACAACAGTAAACATTCACGTAAATCAATTATATAAGAAACACATCGTTACTTCATATACACACATCACTACAAGGAAAAAGATAATTAGCGGCGACTTTTGTCACCGCTAAAAGGTCAAATTGTCGCTGGTAATAGTAATAGCAGCGACACGTCACCGACAATAAGTCGCCGCTACTGCTTCGTCGCTATTGATCAACTTGTCGCCGCTAATGATAATTGTTGTTGGTGATTTTGTATCATCAATGTGTATTTAAGTGTAATGGATTGACTTGTTGACCAAAAATCAATCTTGATGAATATTAAACAAGTAAGGAATGTGCGGAGTGCACACTTGTTTAAGTTCATTCAAGATTTTAAGGTAGAATGTTATTTAGGGGCGAAGCCCCTAAATGAACGGTGGTCCGGGGGCAGCGCCCCTGGGAGCGGGGTCCAAGGTGCGGCAGCCCCTGGCGGGGTCCAAGGGGCAGAGCCCCTGGCTGGAAATCTGAATTTTCTGTAAATGAACCCGGTTTTGACTTCATTTTGACCTTTATTAATGATCCGTTTTTAGTGACAGTTTATGACTGTTTTGACAGTTGGAGTAGTTTTTTTACAAAGAAAACTGTCTGACAGTTTTCAGACAAATTAACTACTTATTCATTTTGGTCATCATTTTTCTTGGTACACAACAATCACGAAATTCATAACACCCAGATTTTCTGTTCTTGCTCTCATTTTTCTGAGTCTTATCCGATTAAATGTTGGGAGTACCACCCAAATACTTTAATCTGAAAGTGTATACACAATTCTCAGAATTTCCAAGACTATTATTATCCCGAATTTCTAACAATTGTCGCCGCTAATGAGTTTGTCGCCGCTAAAGAGTGTCGTTGCCACTAATGATGATGTCAATGATGATGTCGCCAGTAATGATGATGTCGCCAGTAATATTGTCGCCGGTAATAACAATTTTCATTTTTTAATTTTTAAATTTTTTTTTTAATCAACGATTTTGGTTGCCGGTAATAATGTCGCCAGTAATTACATAACAACATTCGATTAAATATCAAAAATAATAGTGTCGACGCTAATTACAAAACAAACATCCGATTAAATATCAAAAGTAATAGTGTCAGCCGGTAATTACATAACATCTGATTAAATATAAAAAGTAATAATGTCGCCGGTAATAGTGTCGCCCGGTAATTACATAACATCCGATTAAATATAAAAAGTAATAATGTCGCCGGTAATAACAGAAAACAATCAAAAAATTTACAACCTAACAAGTAGCAAAGCGTAACAACATGTGTAATATGCAAATAAAACTCATCCCTACATACCATCATCTTCGTTCCCATCGTTTCCTCGATTATTTTGGGATTGAAAAAAACGAATAAAGCTCATCGCTATATGCATTGCACGAAGATTTTCCAACTACATAATTATTAACAACATATATAAACTTATAAGTTAAATTATCAAACATAAACAAAAACTATCAAAGTACATTGCTATTTTTAAATTAAGACAAAAAGCCAAAGTACATTGCTATTTCTTGCACTTGGGACAAAAACCCAATTACCAATGCTTTTAGCAAATAATCACCATAAACCAAAATTACCAAATCAACATGCATTTTATGATGCTAAAGTAGATTG